GCGAACGGTACCCAACTCGTGGCCAGAGACAACCCCTTCACCGACCCCTTCTTCATCACTGAGACCCTCTGCATCATGTGGTTCTCCTTCGAGCTCCTGGTCCGGTTCTTCTCGAGCCCCAGCAAGCCCGGCTTCTTCAAGAACATCATGAACATCATCGACATCGTGGCCATCATCCCCTACTTCATCACCCTCTTCACCGAGCTGGTGCACCATCAAAGCAACGGCCAACAGGCCATGTCCCTGGCCATCCTCAGGGTCATCCGGCTGGTCAGGGTCTTCAGGATCTTCAAGCTGTCCAGGCACTCCAAGGGGCTGCAGATCCTGGGCAAGACTCTCCAGGCCAGCCTGAGGGAGCTGGGCTTGCTCATGTTCTTCCTCTTCATCGGGGTCATCCTCTTCTCCAGCGCCGTGTACTTCGCCGAGTCTGACGACCCCGATTCCTCGTTCAACAGCATCCCCGAGGCTTTCTGGTGGGCTGTGGTGACCATGACCACCGTGGGCTACGGGGACATGTACCCGGTCACCATCGGGGGGAAGATCGTGGGCTCGCTGTGCGCCATTGCCGGGGTGTTGACCATCGCCCTCCCGGTGCCCGTCATCGTGTCCAACTTCAACTACTTCTACCACCGGGGGAGCGAGAACGACGAGCAGCCCCCTTACCCGCAGGGGAGCAGTGCGGGAGAGGGGTCAGGTTCCTTGGGGGGCGATCTGAGCAGCAACCCATCGCTCCACAAATGCGAGTATCCAGAAGCCGAGTCCGACCTGGATATGGCGAGAGGAGAGAAACGCCAATATCACGACTTCTCCCCCATCAAACAGAGCTTCGCAGACACCCAGAACATGCTCACTCCTGTATAATCCCAACACCACCCCCCCCCCCCAACCACCAACCCCCCCCCCCACTTTTCGGTGTTTTATTTCCACCCACCCCCCCCCCAAAAAAAATATAATTCTTGGGTTGATCAAGGCTAAATACATTTTATATATATAGACAGAAATACGATATGTTTCTGGCTTTGGGCAGTAGGGATAGACAGGGAGATGCGTCTGGTTCTGATTGCAAATTATTCTTTTTTTATATATATATATTTTCCAGCCTCATTTTTTTTTCTCTCCCTGTCAACATCTATCATTCTGACATTGGCTGCTCTTTAATAAGAACCTCCTGGCTGGCCCCTCTTGCCTTTGCTTTTTCTTTGCTTGCCTGTTATGTTCGTGTCTGCGCTCTTTTTAATTTTGTCTCTCCGGTCGCAAATCTGATCGATTCAAACGGAATAGTTTCATATGCTCCTCACACTCTTGTCTCTCTGATTCGAGCTGTGTGTGTGTGTGTGGGGTGGGGGGGGGGGGGGAATTGTGTGGGGGGTGTTGTATCCTGTGATGGTGAATCACATTCATTCCTCCCCCCCCACCCCCCACAAAGTGGGACTCCAAATCCGACAGAATTGTGCTCCCCAGTCACCTCCTAGTGATTAAGAGAGACATGGAGAGCAAATGGCCTTCACCCCCCCCCCACCCACCACCTTATTTCCTCCTTGTCTTCTGTTGCTTTAACCTGTTGTGTGGGGAGAGAGAGAGAGAGAGAAACCATCAAGTGACTTTGCACATGCAACATGCAGGGGAAAACAAAATCAAAGGATTGCAGAAAGTGGTAGAGGGGAAAAAAAAGGGACAACATATATATATCTATATATATATATTTACAAAAAAGGGACCAAAATAATTTCATCTCTCCAGAGGCGAGGCTCAAATAATTCTCTGCGATACTGTTGCACAGGCAAGTTGGGCTTTATTTTATTTGTTGTTGCATTGGCTGCGAAAATAACAGGCAGAAAACAGCCAAAGCTTTACTACTGATCGGTCTGTCACCTCTGATGCGTGTTCTTGTCTTTGTCACGTACTGTTTTGATCGCACTTGCTTCCATTCCCCCCCGCACCCCCTCGCCCCCCCACCACCATGTCTATTAAAAGGTAATAGTGGAATGAGATCATTTGACAGCAAATTACCCACCCACTCTGAACCGTTCAAGAAAATCCCATATTGTCCACACACCGAAAAAAAATATGATTTCAACAAGTGTGTGTCAAAATGCGAGATCTCTCTTTTTTTTTGGGGGGGTTGAGGGGGAAGGGAGGTGGAGATAGAGTGGGAGGGGGATAGAGGGATATTCCTATTGAAAGCAATTCAGACATGGAAAGTCCCCAGGGGTTCAAATGGCATTATCCCAAAGGGAAATTTCAGAGAAGGAAGCAAGTCCTATATTAGTTTTATATTGAGATCAACTTAATGCAGATGTGGGTTATGTTTACATGTGTACCATTTCCATAATTTTCTTCTATTTGACAATGACTGTTATTGCAAACCTCCCCCCCCCCCACCCCCACTCCCCTCCACAAACAATAATTTTAAGTGCCTGCAGGAAAACACAGACAAAAGAGGGAGAGAGAGAGAGAGAGAACTACGTGTCAAAATCTTGTGCAAAAAGCTTGTTCTTATGGAGGGTTTGAGGCTCTGCAGCACCTCCTGGTGGGAGCACTTGGTAAGTGCAGCCTGTTGTCACAGTCCAACAACAACAACTACTTGCATTTACATAGCGTCTCTCCGAGGGCCCAACAGTGGCAGAGCCTGACGCCGAGGAGGTGACCGCAAGCACGGTCGAAGCGAAGCCCACCCTAATATCAACCAATTCCAGACTGGTCCAGACAATTGGGGGAAAGACCAAAAGAAAAGTTTTAATCCCGGGCATCGTCCTGAAAGAAAACCTCTGCAAATAGATGTCAGTGTGCGTGTAGTACTGTAGTGAGCTTTAACCTCTAAAAGCTCAGTACAGCACTACACGCAGAAGTCGCTTTCTTTAGAACATGATTTTGTTCTGACCGCTTTCTATTTCGGTCGTTTCAATTGACGTGTTTCCAGGGAACTTGTTTGCAACGGCTGGGTTAGGGACTGTGATCGTTAAGATAGATTTAAGTGAGCTACACGACGTGACTGACCATTCATCAAAGTGCTTCCGTGATGCCACTGCAGACCAATTTTAGTCAACACAATTTTTTTTATCTATGTATGTGTATATATATATATATATATATAGAGCGAGAGAGAGATGGGAACATTTCCGAATGAGATGTTTTCACAAGGAACGAAACGATCTTCAAATCAAATAGCTGAACATGAATCAATCGTAGCGCAAGACGGGCAAATTACTTCAGTGCGAACACAGTTTCAACCCCAACTGAGAAAATCAGAGGGAACAGTCATGTTTTTATCTAGATCGAAAGGGAAAGAAATTCGGTTAAATGATTTGGAGGGCACTGGGTAAATAATGCTGGCTCACAGATAACCGAATGGATCGTACATTGACCTCCACTGGAAAAAGGGCAAGGGGCAAAATATCGATGTGAATTCTAATTGTAGTGTGTTATTAAATGTGTTAAAAGGTAATCAAGAAAAGAAATGTTAACCAGGCACTGGGACTCTTGCATCATAGTCTTTGAACAATACAACAACAACTTGCATTTGTATGGCGCCCTTCACACAGGGCAAGGTTTCGGAGCGCTCACTGGGAATGTTTCCCAAGTATGAAAGCCACACAGATTTTCAGTTTCTTCCAGTGCTCCTTTTTCTTCAAGGGATGGGTTTGAACGATTGACTGCTCACTTGGTAATTCCTGCATACAGCTTGCGGGTGTGCGAGGAATAATGAAAAGGACTAAAACAGACATAAGGGTACAACTAAGCATTCAAGTTTGTTTTTCCCCCTCCTCCGACATCTGTCTGCTTACGGATGAAAAGGCAACGAGAATTGCTGAAAGAATCAAAATGTGCTTGAGATTTCGTTTTGAAAGGAACAAAAGATTTACTGTAAAAAAAATGGACAGTGGCAAACAGGACACTATGGAAAGGTAAGTGTTGAAAGTTCATTGAAACATTTTACTGTATTTACACCAAACAAAGAAAATGGCTTTGATTTTCAAAGCAACATTTTCAGGCAGAATTGATAAATCTAGCATTTTTATCCAAAAATGTCTGAATTTATAAATATGTGTGTGTGTATGAATATCTACAAATATACAGACATTAACAATAAATGGAGAAAGTTCCCTGAGTGGTGGCAGTGTATGCGTTTTGTCCACAAAATATACAGTCAATTCACTTTACAGTATATTCTGTGAAGCGCTTTGAAACGTCTCAACGACGTGATAAGACGCTATATCAAATGCAAGGATTATTCGTATCAACATTATTGTTTTGTTTAATTCTGTTGGAAGAGTTGCGTTCAGGAGGCTGGACAATAGTTACTGAAACAGAAGAAAAAAGATAAAATAAATAACTCTTGCATTTGATGTAGCGGCTTAGCATAATTGTCGAAATGTTTTAAAGTGCTGCACGGGATTTTCTGTCAAGGCCAAATACTGAAACGGTGCTGTTGCAAAAAGGAATTATCCCTCTTCAATTTTGATGGGAAGGATCCAGCTTCCCACACAATGGCAACAGTGATTAGCAAAAGTGAATTCGGCAGATGAAGAAATCTGTTTCAATAGATCAGGTTTGCACATCAGTTATGACGCTGAGCGTGGGCTCAGTCCTACCTCCCCTCCCTGTATTTTGGTGCAATGTTTGTTGAGATTTGTTCGCCTAAGTGGGGTTTGAAGGATGCAATGGTCTAATATTGGATTTACTGGTAAAATCATTAATTTAAGGGAAAAATCACAACTTTTGAAACGGTCCTCTTTTTCTAAGCTCAGTGGAATCGCCCACGAAATACACAGTTAATCCACTTTAATAATAATAATCCTTGCGTTTGATGTAGCGCTTTTCACGGCTTATCGACGTCTCAAACGCTTCACAGGATAGACTGTAAAGTGAATGGACCGCATATTTGTGGGCGAAACTCGGCAGCCAATTGCGCACAGCAGCGTCCCACAAACAGTCGTGGTTTGAAAATGACCAATTTATTATTGTTTTTGTTTTGGAGGGATTATTATTAGGCTCTGTGTGGAGTAAGGAAACTTGCCCAAGGTTTCGCCCTCTGCCTGGAATTGAACCCAGGTGTCTCGCTTGCAAGGCGAGTGCTCTAACCACTGAGCTTTTCTGTGAAGCACTTTGAGATGTCTGAACAACGTGATTAGGTGCTGTGTGAAAGTTAGCTGGTCGATAGTTTTTATGTGATTAAGGTTGTTAAATCCTCGGTCATTCTCCCACACAAGGCCATCCTTAACCCCAACAACAACGCAAGGAGACTTCTTGGGGTTCAAAATCAATGAGATCTACTGAACTCTTAAGATCCTTAAAGTTCAAATGCTGCCATGACCTTGTCCAGCCCTACATCTGCAATCTCCAGGACCCTCTCCCTCTGCTCTGATAAACCCGGCCGGATTCCAGCTCCCTGCCCATTCCGCCCCACCATCAGTAGGTGAGCTTTTAGTCACTTAGCTCTCAGCCTCTGGAATTCTCTTCCAAAATCCCTCTGCGCAGTCCTCTCCCACTCTGCTTTCAAAACTCATTCAAGACCTATCTCTTTAATTGCGCCTTCATCGTTTAATTGATCAACGGGAGAAGGCGTGGATTGATTGATTAATTAATCAATCAATCAATCCGTGACTGTTTGTGCAACACTGCTGTATTCAATTGGCTGCTGGTTTCGCCCACAAAATGCACAGTGAGTTCATTTTACAATATATTCTGTGAAGTGTTTTAAAAGATCTCAACACTATGTCAAAGATCAATATCAAGGATTATTATTTAATTATTACCCCCCGTATCACCGATCTCCTTCCAGCTCAAGCTCTCACTCAGTCTCTATCAAGTAATTTTAAATATTCTCCCTTCGTGACAGCGAAGTGAAAATTGTTGTTCTTCTTCCCCGGGAAGGATGAGTTTCAGAATGTGAATTCTGCGCCCTGAAATGAAGAATATTCAAGGCATGTTGATGTTCAACAGTGAAAATGTTGATCTGGTGGAAGTGTTATTCATCAGAAAGGATCATCGGACAGGAGATGTGGGAATGAGCCAAAGTATACTTCAATAAGTTAACTATTAAGCAATAGAAATTAAAACAAAAGTTCAAGGCAAGAGCCGTTATTTATGTGGTGCTGTGTACCCCTGTGAGGGTGAGTGTTCAGCTGAATGGAAATTATTGTCCTTCCTGTGGGAATCACTTTTCAAACTCCTGCCACTTGGAAAGATATAGTATGATAAACAACCAGGAATGAAATCATAGATAGAGTGCTGTGAATACAAGGAGGGGTGGGAGGGGGAATCGTCAAATCAAAAAGAAAATGCAGGACATAAGCGACTGCACTTATGACCCGTGTCTTGTTATGTCCCCCTGGTTCGTTGTCAAACTCGGCCACTGTCAAGCGCTCCAGGACCCTACCCCGGTGTTAAGGGCGCTATATAAATGCAATTTGTTGTCATAGTTGTTGTCGTCGCAGTTCAGCAGAGGAATTTCACCTAAAAAGAAAAACTGGAACTGGAACTCAACTAAGTTAGGAAGCAATTACTGTGCCTCTGATTGAAGGTGCACCAGTGGATGTAATGATTGATCCAGGGGATCTGAGAAATATTGTTGATGAGTGCAACTTCAAGAAAATAGAGCAGACTGCTGAGACTAATGACTAATGGAAAGCTCAGTCATACTATTTCCATATTGGTTTTGACTCACTTTGGTCAGTCAGTGCTTGGTGAGTTCATAGGAATATTGAAGGCAGAAAACAAATCCAGAATTGGGGAATCTCGTAGCTTGGTGGCTAGAGCTCTCGCCTCGCAAACGAAAGGACCTGGTTTCGATTCCCGGGTAGGGCGTAAGTTTAGGCAAGTTTCCTTCCTCCACAAACCTCTGATGATTACCGAGCAGTAAGTAGGAACCTGGTTGTTAGTCAATTGGAGGTTTGCTTTTCATGGATAATAATCCCTCAAAAAAAAATTGATCATTTACTCCATGATTGGACCCAAATTCAGTGCTAGGTTTCGCCCATAATCAATCCACTTTAAAATATATTCTCTGAAGAGCTTTGGGACATCTCAATGACATGATAAGGATCAAATGCAAGGATTATTATTATTATGAAAGGAATCTTCTATTCTTACAGGAAGCAAATGAGCTGAGTATCAGTGCTAATGAAGTCTAAAACACAATACTAACTGGGTTTGTTGTTTAATCGTGACTTCTGCTTTGCAAATATCCAACCTCAAAATATGCGGAAAATCACAAATTCCAAACTGCCACGGTCTGAAAGAAGGCCAGCGAACAAAACACTTGCTAAAAATAAAGTAGCCAAGTTGGTGGGTTACCAAACCCAAATAAGGTGGAAGTCATCCAGAAAGCAATTAGATTGCACAGAACCTTGACGTTAGGAACCATTGTATGGATAATAGTAACAATAATCCTCGCATTTGATGTAGAGCCTTATCACGACTCATCTCAAAGCGCTTCACAGAATATACTGTAAAGTGAATTGACTGTATATTTTGTGGGCGAAACATATACACGCAAAATGGCAATGTACTGATCCTACTTTATCTTCGACTTTTCACAAAGTGCTGTGAGAACCAGTAGTGAAAGAGATGAGAATCCCAGTTAGAAGTCAAACATCACAAAGAAACCCAGCGACTCAAAGATTCATTTTCAAGAACTCTCCCTGTGCTTCTCTTTGATGTTGACAAATCACAGACGTCTGAGTGGATGTGAGTCTCGCTGGTCTCAGAACAATCTAACTTGGCTTAATAGGATCAGGAAAACTCTTGTCATGCTGATCTGTTGCTACATTTGTTAAATATAATAATTTGGTTACTCAATCCATGACTGTGGGACACTGCTGTGTGCATTAGGCTGCCACTTTTCGCCCACAAAATACACAGTGAATCCACTGTACAATATATTCTGTGAAGCACTTTGAGATGTCGCAACAACACAATAAGGTGCTACATCAAATGCAAGGATTATTATTATTATTATTATTATCTGCTACAGAAAAATATAACTGGATTGAGTGAGACATATGCTATTGTTCTGAAGTGCATGTCTGTAAATGATTTTCCATTTGAGGTTATCAGTGACAATGAACCTCTTGTTTCTAGCCTTGGGGAAAAAACAATATTCAATCTTTTACTCCAGAATCGCAGGATGCTGTTGAAATTCTAATTGCATCATTGCACCCTGTAGGTAGGGTGTCACACTTGGAAACCAAAATCTAACAAATGATAAGTCATCCCATTTCAGGGTTGTTCTCTGAATTTGATTAAACGCAACAGCTTATAGTAAGGATCCAGCTCTATCCTTGGATTTAATATAGTGTCTGTAATGCAGTCAATTTTTGCTCAGCCAAGTGCCTCAAATAACCATGATGTGAATAACTATTTTTTCTGCAGGATCGTTGCCCATGACATTGGGAGAAAACTCCATTCTCTTTTCAAATAATGTCTTGGGAGTCTTTAGCATTCACCTTAAACAGGCAAATGGTTTAATGTTTCAATTGAATGATGGCAACACTTGGCAATTCAGCACTCCTCTGTCCTGCACTGGAGAATCAGCCTAAACTGTGAGCTGAAAGTCCTAATTGTGGGGCTTGAACCGTCTACACAAGAAGCCACATAATTCTCAGAGTATCCTGGATTTTGTCACATGAGCTTATCGTAATAATAATCCTTGCATTTGAGAAAGTGCCTATTACGTCTTCGAGACGTCTCAAAGCACCTCACAGAATATACTGTAAAGTGAATTGTCTGTATGTTGTGTGGACGAAACACGGCTGTAATTGAGCACAGCAGCGTCCCACAAACAGCCGTGGAGTTTAACGCCATATCAGCCAGTAGAGGGAAACGCAGACAGATTCATGGAAAAAGAAACACACCTTAAAAAAACAATCTGCACAGCATTCATGGGAGAAAAATCACGCAAGGAAGAATTGTGGACGTTTTTGATCAAATACTGCACTGTCCCTCCATATTATGACCTGCTACATATTCATAGAACTGGAAAATAAGTTTTCCAAATATGTACAGCATAGAGTATAACGTAGAATTGATCCTGAAGAAAATATTTCCGATAAGAAAAGATGTGTTCAAAAGTTAAGAAATTAGGGAAGTAGATAAAATGGTGGTGGAAAGTTACAAATGAGGAAAACTATTGCCTCTACGCACATATCAAACATAAGTGACCTGTGTCTGTACAAGCCTGACTCTATTGTCATCTTAAAATTCAGTAAAGGAACACACTTCAGTCAATTAGTTAGGTTAAAGCTGGAATTAAACTCATATTAATAATTTTCATGGTAGCACTTTATTATAACGATAATCCCTGCATTTGATATATTGCCTTCTATTAAAATGTCTCACAGTAATTATTAAGTGTAATGACTGTGTATTTGTGCGTGAGTACGATAGCCAAATTGCATACGGCAAGCGGTGAATGATCAATTTAATTGCGGGACATTAGCCAGAAGAAAATCCTTTCTCTTCTCAAATAGTGTCGTTGGTTCTTTAAACGTCCACCTGAACTGGCAGAGCTTAGTTTAACATGTAATCTGAAAGACAGTGCCTATGGCAGTGCAGACAGATTCATGGGAAAAAAAACACACCTTAAAAGGACAATCTGCACAGCCTTCATAAGAGCAAAATCACACAAGGAAGAATTGTGGACCTTTATGATAAAATACTGCACTGTCCCTCCACATTATGAACGCACACACAATACCTGCTACACATTCATAGAACTGGAAAATAAGTTTTCCAAATATGTACAGCTACACGGGACGTCAGCCTAGATTATGGCTCATGTTTTAGACGTTTGGTGCTGAAAAAGGATGAGTATGCCCACTATTGTGCAAATGACTGCGGCATGTTTGATGGTTATCTTCTGTAACCGCTGGACACGAAAGGTTCATCGGAAAGGGGAAAACCTAGTGAGTTGGTACAGTATTTTTACGTACCTGGATTTGTATCCAGCAGAGGGAGATAGTCATGGAGGTAATAAGAACCTGGTTGAAAATATACAATTGTGAAATTCGAGAATTACTGTGTGAGCTTTAAACAATGAGCTTTAAGAGAGAATGTTTTCTCTTTTACTTCATTTCGAATCCAGTCCTGTACACGCCGATGTGCCTATTGCCAATAATTTTCACCGGATGAATGTACTACGAATATCCTTATGTTGCTGTATCCCAACATTTTACTTGAGTACCGTGTGAATGCATTGGCTTCACATTGCGTATTGTAAATATGTTTTGTAGGAAACCCAAGGAATTCTAATCAGACCTTCTAAAATCACTAAGTGACGATATTTACTCAGGACGTGAGTCATTCTGATGGGGTCTGAATACTGCACCAAACGATAACATCGAATGATGTTTTTTTCTTTTTAAAAAAGAGCTTGAAGTATAGACTTAAACTGAACAGGTTAAATATATCCACGTGGAAAAAGGACAACTGGATTCTTGCACCGATGCTTTCAGTCACAGTGACTGTGCGTACTCTGTGTATTTACTTTGTCATTGTTATGCTCAGTCGGGATATGGACAGTGGAACTACAGACAAATTCTTTAATAATAAAGAAGAAATGATTAACATGCCTTACATCCGCCTCGAGATGTCTCAAAGTGCTTCACAGGATATATTGCAAAGTGAATAGACTGAATATTTTGTGGGCGAAACCCGGCAGCCAATTGCGCACGGCAGTGTCCCACAAACATTGTGGATTGAGTGACCAAGTAATGTATTTATTTATTTTTGAAGGGATTATTAGCTCCAGAAAAGCGATCTGACAATCAACTAACAACCGGGTTCCTACTTCCTGCTCGATAAAACAGAGGCGTGTGGAGTAAGGAAACCTGCCTAAAGTTTCGTCCTGCCGGGAATCAAACCCAGGTCCTCTCGCTTGCGAGGCGAGTGCTCTAACCACTGAGCTACAGGACTCCACTGAGCCTCCTTGTGGAACCAATTCAGGAAAGATATTTGATCTTGCTTCTGATGCTGTGAAAGGATGAAGCTGGACCCAGTGTGATACAGTGGGTTAGAATGTTATTCTAAGAATCCAGACCTGGCTCATGAGATTAACATTTTCTCCAAGTTAATTACATGCAATTTATTCCATGGCTGTTTGTGGGTCTTTGATGTGCACAAATTGGCAGCTGCATTCACCCGCAAAACACACAGTCACTCCAGATTTGCATTATATTCTGTGAAGTGCTTTGCGATGTCCTCCTGATGTGACAGGCACTGCATCTTAATGTCTTTTGTGGGCAAAACACAGCAGCCAATTGGGTACAGAAGTGTCCCACAAACAATTGTATATCGAGTGCCCAACTTATCTTTTCTGAAAAAAAAATGATTTTGCCTACAAAAAATCACAAGTCACGGCACTTGATGGTAATTGCTCGTGACGTGCGTTTCGACAACAACAACTTGCATTTAAATGGTGCCATTCACGCCAGATGGCATCTCGGAGCGCTTGAACTTGCCAAAGGTTTCAACCTGCTGAAACACCACAGAAATGCTAGTCTTTATTGTCAAGGAAATGCCAGAGTTCTAACAGTTTTGAAACATGAGTCACCACCTTTAGTAGGGAAGTGGGTGGAAACAACTAGGACATAGTGTGCTCGGCACAGCACAGTATTTAGTTTGTTGTTGGTCATAAGACAGCAAGCATGCTAATATGATTTATTATTTCCATTAAAAGTGGCTGTTCCCTCACCTAATGGGATCACGATTTTATTTTCTGGTAAATCTCTTATTGCTGTGTAATGTGAGAAAGCACTTGGGGAAAACTCCACAATGCTAATGGTGCCTGACATCAAAACTTTGTGAATTAAGAAAAAGAAGAAGCCAATTCAGCCTGTGGCCCATTATCTCATACCCGCCTGATTCAGAATAAATAATAATAATAATAATAAACCTTGCATTTGATATGGCACCTTATCACGTCTTCTAGACATCTCAAAGCACTTCACAAGGTATACTGTAAAGTGAATTGACTATATTTTGTGGGCAATACATGGCAGCTAATTGCGCAAAGCAGTGTGTCCCACAAACAGTCGTGGATTGAGTGATCGCGTGTTTTTTGTGTACAAATTTACAAATCATTTTCTCTGTGGTGGGAGCTAAAAGGTTGACAATTGCCCTGGAAAATATGGAAAATAAATCAAATCCCAGAACAGTGTACGCAAAGCAATTATAAGTCAACTGGAAAATGAGACATTCAGGGCTGCAAGTCGGTTTTGAACTGTCTGCTTAATTGTTTAGAAAATGCACATATTTCCTTAGAATTGTGCACTCCGAAAACAAATTTGCTCTTTATAACCTACAGTGTGCCAAATTATGTGTCGCTTATGTTCATGCCATATGTCTACAGTCGTAGAATACCTTAATATTTTTACTCTGTGTTGCCTAATCTTTATTGTGTGTAACGTTTTGAGTCATGGTAAAGTTAAATCAATATTACTTGATTCCTGTGTTGTTTAGTGTGAAATTGTACATCTTTTGTCTTGCCCTTAAGACCATTGTCTTAATATCTAAGAGCTGGAATTTGTGGGGAAAACACATGAGGGGAGGGGTGGGAGAGATAGTCTATAATAAAACAATAATAATTTGATCACTCAAGTGTGTGACTGTTTGTGGGACGACTGCTGTGCGCATTCCGCTGCCTCATTTCTCCCAGAAAAATATACAGTCAATTCGCTTTACAGTATATTCTGTGAAGCGCCTTGAGAGGCCACAACAATGTGATAAGGCGTTATATCAAATGCAAGAATTATTATTATCATCATTATCGTTTGCTGGCTTTCATGTACTTGCATGTATTTAGCTCAGTATAAATCAAGCAAACACATTGTCATTACTTTATGATGTAAGCAGTAGCAACACGTAATACTGTCGTGTACCAGCACAATATGTACCTGTTTTTATCTCTTACAGAAGATTATGATGTTGGGGCTGCCAGTAAGAGGCAGTAGCAGCTGTAGCTTGGACCTTTCGCAGGCGAACAAATCAATCCGTCAAAACGAGTGAACTTTCGGATCACATCAAATCAAGGTACCCCAAAGCAATGTTTCATCTGAACGCTATTAATACATAGCGATTTTAAAATTAAAAAATGGTTGCAGTACAAAAATGATGCGTTGCATTTATTGCTGTTATTCATTAAAAAAAATTGGTCACTCAATCCACGACTGTTTATGAGACGCTGCCGTGCGCAATTGTTTGCTGCTTTTCGCCCGCAAAATATACAGTCAATTCACTTTACAGTATATTTTGTGAAGCGCTTTGAGACGTCTCAAAGACGTGATGAGTTGCTACATCAAATGCAAGGATTGTTATTATATCACTGCAGTCAAGGGGCTTATATAACACAAATCCTGTTTAAAAAAAAGTTTTAAAAAGCTTCACTAAATCAGGAAGAATATGTTGTCCCCCTTGCTGCTTTATGTGATTTTTTTGTGTTTAATTTTTCAGTAAAATAAATAAATGAATTTTATTTTATTTAAAAATATATTTTTCCTACAGCATTTAGTTTCTCTCATTCCCTTCTTGCATCCCCTCGTTTTCCGTTGCCCTCCCACTCCTTTTGTTTGCATAACACAAGCCTGCAGTGAAGGCTGCAATGTCCTTGAGAGATTCAATGTATTGCAGTAGTATCACCGCCTCCATTCAGTGCTGGCATTAACCAGTAATGAAGGATGAGTAAGTGGGCAAAACTGTCAGCAAAGCTGTGTGAAGTAGCGGAGCCGAGGGCTGTGGGGAATGGAGGGAGTTCAACAGTGTAGGAAGAGATAAGTGGCTCAGAGAACTTAAGCACTGTACATGTCGGTTGATTTTAAAATATTGTTTTATTGAAGGTCTTTGCCTTTCGAGGAGTTTATTTGGTACGGAACTTAAATTATTTTCTCGGCGTAAGGGTTGAATTTTAGTCAATTATTTTTATCCCGGGTTTACATTACGCAATGAACAATCACGCATGTCTGACTGGCTATCTCTGCAGAATATGAAATGCTGTATATCTTATGGGTTGAGTTCAATCTGATGATAGGAAGGAAGGCGGGGAGAAACCTTTGGCGAGTTTCCTTACTGCACACACCTCTGTTTACCTGGAAGTGAACGGGAACCAGGTTGTTGGTCGACTGTTCGTGGGACACAGCTGTGCACAATTGGCTGCTGCGTTTTGCCCACAAAATACAGTCACTCCACTTTACGGTATATTCTGTGAAGCGCTTTGAGACGTCTCAATGACATGATAAGGCGCTGTATCAAATCCAAGTATTATTATATAACCAGGGCTTGGTACCTACCTTGATTTGTATGTAGTGAGCTGATGGTGGAACTCTGGACTTCTAACTGGTGAAATCATTGCTCAATGGGTGTTTGAGCTTTGGGCAGGAGGACGGTGCTTAGGTGCTCTCACACGTTTCATGCTAAATTGTGCTGTTCACAAAGAAGCTTATAAAGATTTCCTGGTATCTGCTATCTATCTGGTGAGGACTCAAACTCTTAACCACAGCGATGGGTTTCCACATGCGTCAGACACACAGCTGAACCAAAACAAACAAAAAAAAATTGTGCTATGATGGCTTTTAGATAATGGTTTTCATCTTTGAGTTTAGCTGCACTGTCTTATGAGGCCTCACACTCCCTCCGCAACATTCAGCACAATGTTTTTAGTTTAGAAAATGGAATGCATAGGAACAGGAGTAGGCCATTCAGCCCATCGAGCCTGTTCCGCCATTCTATAAAATGATGGCTAATCTGTACCTCAACTCCAATGACCCGCCCTTGCCCCATATCCCTTGATACGCTTACCTAACAAACATCTATCCACCTTAGTCTTGAAAATGTGAATGGATTCAGCATTCACAGCCCTTTGGGGGGAGAGAGTTCTTGATTTCCACTTCCCTTTCTGTGAAAAAATGCCTCTTGATTTCATTCCTAAATGACTTTGCTCTAATTTTAAGATTTTGCCCCCTTGTTCTGGATTCCCCACCAGAGGAAATCGTTTCTCCGTAGAGAATGCATCAGTTGAGTGACGGTATCTATGTAGATTGTAATGTAACACTGAGGTAAAACAGTACAACAGTTTTGCAGATGTGATCTCTGCAGCCTTTTCCTGCACTGACTGTGTAAACACTTTCAAATCAACTCTGCATGTTTTAATTGAATCAGTAAAGCTATGAGTCATTCATATTTAAGGTGCTGACATTTCCTTAAAGGAACCGGGTTGGGAGGAAATTTTCATCATCTCAAAAGGACATAAATGAATCAGGACTACAAAGGTTCAGAATACTAACATCTCTCCTTCGAAATTACATTTTATAAAATATGTTCCATTCCTTCATAGGAACATATTTATTTGGCAAAAGAATAATGCTGCCAAAAGGATCAGCTGACTATGAACTATGTATCTATCTGGTTAATTTGAATGAATTAGAATAGTGTTACCATTATTTTGTTAGGCTATTAAATAACAAATCTGGCAAACCACAAACACACCATTTTGTGACCCATTTGGAATATGTGAATGCGTGGCCACTGAAAGAGAAGGAGTCACAGCTGTTTTTTTTTCACATTTTTAAACAAGTTTCAGTGATACTTAATGTATTCAACGGGATTAATGCTGAATTGCTGAGCTATTGATACTACATTTTATGCATGGAGTCCTGTAGCCCAGTGGTTAGAGCGCTCGCCTCGCAACCGGGAGGACCCTGGTTTGATTCCCAGACAGGACTAAAAGTTGGGCAAGTTTCCCCACTCCACACGCCTCTGTTTACCCAGCAGTAAGTAGGAACCCGGTTGTTAGTCGACAATGCTGTGCGTTTCACCCACAAAATATACAGTCAATTCACTTTACAGTATGTTCTGTGAAGCGCTTTGAGACGTCTCGAAGACCTGGTAAGGCGCTCTATCAAATGCAAGGATTATTATTGTGGGAAAACATTTGCGTGTGTCACTCTCATAGATTGTTAATTGGGGGTGAAAAACATGAGGCTTCATAACAGATTCATTGTGGTAATAACGTGCGTCCATTGTGAAGTGCTGTGTTTTTCACTCCGCTCTGGAAAGGAGAGGTTGGCTTCCAGGAGGCTGCCAACAAAGCTTTTTGGAGGGCAGCCATTGTGCCACAGCTAGGTCATTCATCATAACACAACCACCGCACTGTATTGCAAGCAACTTCAATAGAGCTCCGCTGCAGAATAGCAGCCATTCAGTGAGGAATCAAAATATCTTGCGAGACGTCAAAACGATAATGCCTTGCAGATTGTATCAAAAAAACCATTGATATCGATGGAGAATTCGGGTGGCACACTGAATAATTAGTGCAGATTAATTTGCTCTGCAATGCTGACAGCCACTGCGATGTGCCGATGACCAAATGTATGTGAAACTCTTGAAAGAGCTTTGCATTTAAATTTCAGAAGCACTCTGTGAATTACATTACAATAAGAATGAAAGGGCAATGCATCAAATTATGCTGTAAATATTAATGAACTGCTAATGCAGGAGAAGACGTGTATATTTTCAGCTGGTCAACCTCAACTGCTGGTGGCACGGAATGACTTTCATTGCCTGGAATGATAATGTCAGATGCCATCATCGTGTCTAGAATTTCCTGCCGTGCACAGTCATCTGTGGATTGAGGGATAATAATCTCTCAAAAAAAATAGCAATTTAGCCACTCAATCCACGACTGTTTGTGGGACATTGCTGTGCGTAATTGGCTGCTGCATTTGGCCCACAAGATATACAGTCAATTCACTTTACAGTATATTCTGTGAAGTGCTTATCGTTTGGTAAACAGAGGCGTATGGAGTAAGGAAGTTTGCCTAGGTTTCGCCTCACCTAGGTTTGCCCAAGGTTTCGAACCTGGGTCCGCTCGCTTGTTAGATGAGCATGCTAACCACTTTGCTACGGGACTCTACCATTGCCCCATAATAGGATAAGAATCACATCGCGTACTATTTTTTACCCCATAATTCTTCCGGTATTAAATGATCATCATGGGTCCTGCCAAATCTCTTAACTTTTTCGTTGCCACATGATTGCAGTACAATTTTCATAAGTTATTTTAGTTTGTCTCCTGAGTCTTTCAGGCACTACCACAAGTGCCAAATTAACAAGACACATAATTTTATTACCACCTCCGCTTACAACCAATCTCAGGGCACCCAAACACAAAGCAAAAAAAAAATAGGCTGAATGAAGGGGAATTTTGTAGTAGGTATAAATGTTTTATTTCTATTGACAGTACATTATTAGCTTCAGTGGGAATGTTAGTCACTTGGATCTCTCCTTAAAAAATAATATGCACAAGTCCTTGTCCATAATCATTTGAATCAAGGTGAATCCACTAACCGAGTGATTAACTCTCTGCTGAATGGAAAATCGAGGGACCTAACATTAACAAGTGTTAAGACGTTTCCATGTTGGTTGACATTCCCTGACAGGAGAGAGAATTATAGCAGATATTGTGTTCATACTCCGAAGAATGCAAGGGAACTGATGGGGAAGCTTAAATGGGAATCTGCCAATTGCCTACAGTTGGACATTCTGTGTATGCATGTGCACACATATACACAGAATGTCTGTAGGAACAAATTCAAGAGGCAATGAGATAGCTTTCAGTGAATAAATTATTTGAGGGATAGAAGAAATCTAGTAGTGTGGGACGATGTATTATATTTAAAACAAAACTATTGAACTGGCCTCACGGCCTGCATTTATCTTTCCCTGGCCTGTAGATTCCTAGATTCCTATATCTCCTTACGTTCAGTTTCAACAAGCCGAAATGTCTTAAATCCCTTCAGTAATTACTGTCAAGTCAATCGATTGCTTTTGTAGGCAAATGTGGCAGACTTTGCATCAACAAAGTCCCAACAACAACCGTGAAGTAAATTACCAATTCATTTTTAGGATAGTTGGCCAGGAGAAACTCCCTCGTATAATGAATCTTAACGTTCATCTGAAACAGGGAGGCAGGATCTTCCTTTAACATCTCATCTGAAAGACAGCACCTCCGACAATGATTGTAAAGACCATGGCCATTCCCAAGCCTCAGTTACTTGTTCTCTAAATAAGATATAATGGTGACTTTGTAAATATTTATAAAAGGATGCCTCTACTACACCAACTCTTCTGACAGCTGCTGGAAAGTTTTCAACACTGTAAGACGAAACTCACTGCGAAATCTGTTTCATCTCTGCAATGTGAGAACAAGCAAGGGAGGATAGAGAGGCCCACACTCTTCATGTCACCCTCTTCAGATCCTCAAGGGAAACACTAATATTTGCTTTGGAAGATCTCAGTTTACCCGGTTTGCTGACAGGATTGAGAACGGAATTGATAACCTATGACATTTGTTCTCACTGTTACAGTACTGTACTGCTTGTGAAATTATGAAATACAGTTACAGATGAATGCTAATATGCAATGGATGTGTATATGAGTAACGGTTTCCAAACCTGCACCCTCCTAGGATCAACAAAGTGATTTAGTTCAATTGCAAAACTCAATATAACACAGACAGATATTTACTCCACAATATTTTCTGAGTAGTCCAGTAGTTAGGATTAAAGTTTTGCTCCACAAGTTAGTTATTTTGAAAATTATTTTCAATAGCAACAGGAGTAAGAATATTCGGCCTATCGAGTCTTTTCTAAATAGCTTTCAGATCATAATAATCCTTTCATTTGGTATAAGCGCCTTTTCACATCAGGAGGACGTCTCAAAGCGCTTTGTAGGATTTACTGGGGAGTGACTGTTTTTTGTAGGCGAATAGTTGTTGGAGGCATACATCAAACTCTGTCTGATTGCAAACTCTTAAGCATATGTCAGACACTTGGCTGACATATCAATAATAGATTTTGTTGAGCCACAAAATAAAAGCTCCCTGGTACATTGATAAACATTTCGGTCTGAATATCCCCTTGAATTAAATTTGTTACATTTAGTTAGATTGGAATCAGACGGGATCAGCAGAACTTGGAGTTACTGTCTAAAGGGAATGTCACATTCTCAGCAAAGTACTCAGACTTGACAGTGAATCTGGAGTCAGTGACATTGATGCGTTTGCATATTGATCGACTCTGGAGTTAAGTACAATCAGGACTCACTCCAGAGATAAAGTGCAACGTGAGAGAGGCTGAAGTGAAGCAAAGTGATGCAATGTTGAACAATTCAACTGCATCAAAAGGGATTTAGTGTCACTCTGTGTTTGACATTTGCCTGTAGCAGTGCAGACAGAAAGAACAGAACCAAAGTGGCTCACCTCAGCTTGAAGGACAACAGTTCAATAATATCTGGTTATTATTACACTGCTTATCTCTTCAGTATGTCCTCTCCCCTTCCGGTCCTACATGACTAACGTAAAGGAAAGAGTCTGTGATGCAGTTGAGTTATTATTTAAATATATCTCGCCCTAATTCTAGGCAAGTTTCTCTGAATAAATTCTTATGGGCTTTTTTCTTTTATTGTGTACTGAGCAGGGCTGCAAGTTTCTGATCCGTGCAGTCCTGTAGCGTAGTAGAGCGCTCGCCTCGCAAGTGAGAGGATCCGGATTCGATTCCCGGGTAGGGCGAAGCATTAGGCAAGTTTCCTTACTCCACACACCTCTGTTTACCTAGCAGGAAGTAGGACCCCAGTTGTTAGTCGATTGGCGGATCGCTTTTCCGGGATAATAATCCCTTCAAAAGAAATAACAATTTGGTCACTTAATCCATGACTGTTTGTGGAACGCTGCTGTGTGCAGTTGGCTGCTACATTTCGCCCACAAAATATAAAGTCAGTTCACTTGACAGTGTATCCTGTGAAGCGCTTTGAGACGTCTCGAAGACATGATAAGGCACTATATCAAATGCAAGGATTGTTATTATTATCTCGGTGGGACTTCATTTTTGCACAGCGCTTCTGTGACGGATTTGGCTCCAAGGCTGACGAGGTCTGTGTTTTATCTCTGGCTGTGACACCAATCCCCTGGTGTGCTGGTTCCTGGCTTGCGTTACTGTGCTTGCACTTATTGTTGTCCTTGGACCTTTTTTTTTCCTTCTGCAATCTTGGAAGATGTTCATCTGTTCTATAGTTGCTTTCTGTTATCTGTTATTGTACCTTTTAAGCTTTGACCTTCTCCTCTTGCTTACTGGCAATTCTTGCTGTACTGAGTGTATCTAATAATTTATTCATGGCCTAGTGATACTTAGTAAGAGGCCTGTACGGCCGGTTTTGTCCGGGGGAGTTCTGGATTTGCTGAGGTTGAAGGCAGTTCTGAGCTGGGCAAAGTTGCAAGAATGGGCACTTTCTATATATAGAATTTGTTTGTGATTAGTGATGATTGCTGGATATAACCAATTATCGATAATATACAAGCTCATGGATCAGTTTTCTCGTGTTGCTATATCAGCAACAATCTGTTATTACACAAATGCCACCGACAATCTCTTCAGTGCTTTCCCATTGTGAACATATATCAGAAAGATCTCGAGTACATTAAACTTCACATAAGTCATATCCTTTGGGACCATCCATTCAATACAGTAAAACTCTCCTGAAAGTCTGATCTGTATAAATCGTATAAAAGTCGTACGTCTGCCCCAGTCCAGAAAAAGGCCAGCGAGCAGAACACTAGTGGTAAACGAACTGACTAACTACAAAAATGTGGTTAAATGATAACTTGGTTGTGTTTTTTCCCCAGGTGACGATAACATAGCGTGGATAGTGCAAGGCACATTCGGCCAGCAAATGATTTTTGGGCAGTGAACCACCACATGGACTCATCCTGGCCTTGGAGTGCAGGTCTGAACAGTTAACTGGGTGAGCAGACCAGCACCGAAGTAGCAGCAATGGCTAATACCCATTGTCCTAGAAATAAGTTGGTAGTTAGTGCCCCTTCCAATGCACTGTTAATTTACTTTTGTTGATTTACATGCAAAAAATGTCGGTAGTGCTTTCCAATGGCAGGGACAGAGAGCGAGCAGGGAGGAGGAGAGAGGGGGAAAGGGGGAGGTGACGGTAGGTGCGATCGGAAGAGGTACATTTTAAGGCAAGACCTGAAGGCAGAGGATTTTAAGACGGACATGAACTTCGCATTGTCTAAGAATGCTCTCAGTCCTCTATGCCTTCAGCCACTACGCCCCGAGGCTCTGGAACTCCCTTCCTCACTCCCTTCGCCTAGCCCCCTCTCTTCCTATTTTCGGGTCTTTGCTGAAGACCTTTCTTTTCAACCGCGCCTTTGGTCACCTTCCTCCCCCTCCCCCTGGCTCGGGCCGGGATCCGTTACTGTGAAGCGCTCTGAGACGCCGTCAGGGGTGGAGGGCGCTATATAAATCCAAGTTCTTGTTGCTGTTGTCCTCTACAGGCCTCTCAGCCTTGACAATGCATTAGAATAAGCCAGAAACTCAATAAACAACAAAAAGACATGTATGGGCAAAATGAAAGAGAAATTCATTTAAAGATTGTGAATTTAATTTCAAATGGCAAGTATCGTGTATCAAGGGAGTCCCATTTGCAAACAGTATCCAATATATTTTAATACAACGTGAAAAAGTACTTTGAACATCGGACAAGAGGAAAAAATCTGACAGTATAAGTAATGAGAAAATCAAGACTGCCGTAACATGTTTTACCCACGCCGTTCACATGAGATTGAATTGGGTATAATAGCTGAGAAAAATATTTCTTGTTAGGAATGTGAGGACGTGTTCTTCGTAAGTTATTTGGAACTTCCTCTCTCATGAGATAAATAACGACAACAACTATTCTGCCTTCAGCTATTTTACTCACAGTTACCTCTCTCCTATTTATTGCAATCGCAGGGAAGAATTTTATAACTAAATTGTGCGTTACGCAGGATTTCCTCACAGATCTGTAGATCCCCCTATTTTCCCCGTTGTTCATCCATTATTCAATGAATGAGGTTGAATTCAGTGCATTCCAGCTGTGCAACCACAGCTTTGATCTGCGGAGCATCTACGCACTTCACAAGCTTATTATTTCTTCCCTTTGTTCCGACGTGCTGTTTTGCAGACCAGCTATGCTGAAAGCGTTGTGTACCAATGCTGCCTTGTGATTTGCTTTCTGTTCATGTTGAGTTGCTGGGCTGTTCTGTTCTGCAGCATCCTGTTTCTCTTGCAGTCCTGCGCTCTCCCACCCTCCAAAACGCCTACATTTTGGTCGCTGTTGACCTGTTGTGAGTTGGCTTGTGCTCTGGCAGCAGCCTGTTTCACTGCATGTTGCACTCTTATGTTTTTTTTGCTGTGTGAGGTATTTTGTTTAGCAATGTGACCGACAGGATTAATGCACTTCGAGACTGCAGCATTTGGTGACTGTGACACTGCTACAAATACCATCATCATTCACTTCACGTATTCTCCTCTGGTTTGCAGGGAACACAAGCAAAAGGTTTTGCTACTCGATTACACAACTCTAAGCTACAGCTGATCGGATTGACGTCTGCTGCGTTCTGCTTCACCCAAAGTGAAATAAACAATTCTGAAAATGCCTGTGTACCCAACATGATCATAAAAACTACAAGTAAAGCAAGAGAACTGAAACAAAAACACACAGGTACCCATGCAGATTTGAAAAGAAATATGGAGGAGGAAAATCCTGCTTATTCTGTGTCTGATGCTTTCATACCCTGGATAAACATAAATCTCAACACCACATTGCGCACCATAGAAAAAGCAAAGGAATACATCTTCCGAGCATTGGCTGATCAGGGTGCTCATGTCCAGCTTTTTGGTTGCTGAAGGGCCGCAAGCCTTATTTGAGAAACGCTCCACGGGCCGCATAAACAGTAATATTTGCGTTTCCCTTCCAGGAACGCAGCACACAAAATAATAATAATAATAAGTTGGTCATTTCAATCCACGACTGTTTGTGGGACACTGCTGTGCGCAATTGGCTGCCGCGTTTCGCCCACAAGATATACAGTCAACTCACATTACGGTATATTCTGTGAAGTGCTTTGAGACAGGTTATGGAGAGAGTGGATTGGCCAGTTGAAATGGAGGGAGGAGGAGGTAGGGAGTGGATGAAATTGGCCCAGTTGGATCACCCTGGAGATAGACAAGCAAATTATGTCATTAAAGTTCATTTGCTTCTCGTGGATCTCATTCTGATGATGGATGACATTTTTTTATCTTCTTACCTTTTTAACAAATGCTTTTTTGTTTCTTATAGCTTTATTCATTTGCTCTAAAACAGTGCATTTGTGCCCAATGCATCATATGCATATCAATGAATAATTCAAATTTATATGGAAAATCTTAACTGTTCCTTTTACATGTTTTTTTTTACTGTTATTATTTGATACATTAAAATAACATGCATGCAAACAAGGGCATTTGGTATTTTGGGGGGTTGGGGGAGTAATTGATTTAGGAACACTGGTTTAACAATTGGGATGTAACAACTATTTTTATGGATGGTAATAAATATGCTAATACTGTGGGATTAATCTTCTCGGGTCAAATCTATATTTTTATATGTATTATATATGTTTTATATTAAAGCAATTGGGTATACTAGTGACATTAATTTAGAAAATTAATATTTTTAATGATTTTTATTTGGGTTGTGCACAATTTTTAATTACTTTTGGGAGAAGTAATTAAATGTCCCATCTCAACTTTCCTTTAACATGTTTTAATTTGTCAATTAAGTCGCTTCCTGTGCATCTTTTTAGTGAATTATTGATGCATTTTTTTTGCCAAATCGCTGTATCGCTATAATTAAAAAACATCTACCTCAGTTTTACGCGTTCATTTATTTTATTTTATTTGAAGTCTAAATATTTCTGAAATGCTATGGAGTTGCATGACGCACATCAATTTAGCGAGATACCCGAATGTCAAGATACCGGATGTCAAAGCAATGTGTACCATGAAGAAGTGTTGGTGTAAAACATTACTTTTATGATAATGCAATCATTTATTTATTGCTTTTTCTTCCACTTTTTCCTTAATTTCTTCTGTGCCTCTAATTGTCTTGAAGTGGATACAATGCAATACAACACTTTAAAGTATGCATAGACTTTATGTTTTCTTCCATCTGTGTAAAACTCTTATATTTGGGATGAGATTCCTTTATTCCTCTTATTTGTCAAATACCAGAAATGTATATGAGAGGGTGAATGTAAACATCAGTGAGGTAATTGTTTCTATCTCAATAATTATCATTAGAAAGTGATCCCATTCTTCACCATTTCCATTTTGACTGTGGCATCTTATATACTATTTGCCTTCTCATAAAACAATTTTAACTGTTAAAAATACACTTTATTTTCCTGCCTAAGCGAAACATACACTTGAAGCCTGAAAAAATGCCTCTGGCAGAGAAACAGGTTGACGTACATTACTAGAAATGGGATAGACCAAATATTGAATTAGTGACAATGTCATGAGTAATTTACACAGGGCTGCAATCTTATATAATATACTTGTATCTTACAATTCCTATCAAGTGCTCTCTAGTTACATATATCCATTAGAAATGTCAGTACATATGATTGGAACACGTTATTTTTTCAACATGCTTGTACAAAATGTAAGAATAATATGTAGACACTAAAATACACTATGGAAAATAATTTTTTATGAGACTGAGACTTAAATACAGGATTATAAAGCACCTAGAAATGATCATTTAACCTGAGCTCAGCTAATTGTCATGCTTACATTCAACCTTATCACAGCAATATCCAGTTGGGAAATAAATGGTGAAAACAAATGGGAAGAGACGATTAGAATAACATTGTTTAAACTACAAATGTGTTTAAGAAACAACACATAGAATAGCTGCGTAGACCAAAGAAACGCATATACCTCAGAACATTGCATGGCTTATGTGTATATATTGTAGAATACCATTGTTGTTGTGGGAACTGCAATAATAATATCTGTGCAAACATATATTCTGCTCTCTCACATGCATTAGGGTTCCATGAATGTTAAGGAGAGGAGGCTGCCTTGTGAAGGGAAAATTTGATTTAAAATATGGTGATTTTCTTTTTTGGTCAACAACAACAAGTTACACTTGTCTAGCAAGTCAACCGAGTGTCTGACACTTGGGGAAACCCATCACCATGCTTACGAGTATCGAAACCATTGCTGAAATCTTAAAACATTGAAGTAATATGTCTAAGCATTATTCAAATTTATTCAATATATTTCCTCAGTGTTTCTCCAATTAGCCTCCTTTGTTTGGGGAATTTGCAGTCATGTTTCTATGTTTCAGAATTGTGACATTTAAATTTTGCAATACATTTTTTAAGGAAATATTAACTGATGCATTTGTTTACAAAAAAATTGAAAACCGAATTCTTCAATTGTATGTTTCTATGATTATAGATATATTTTTAATGAGTTAGAATTTGTTTTCATATAGGCATTCTTTAAAGCAGCCAGTTTTAGTGCTCAATATTTTTATTTTCCCATTAATGCTACGTAAGATATAGCAAATAAAATGGTAATGCCCTTCATTCTCATCTTATTGTTAATTGATTGTGAATTCATCCAGCTTTGACCGACTGTGAGTGTGAACAGTGATGTCCTCTGTGCACTTGTGTGTTGTCTGATGGTGCGCAAGAGAGGTCGAATTCAACTCTTTCTCTAATTTTCATTTAATCTGATGACCAGGCGAAGATTGGGATTGGGCTCGCTGGTACAACATATTGGAATAACCCTGCATTTGCTTCCTATCGTGCCTTTTTCTTCTCATGCTTTGGGACAATGCACATCTGAGACCAAAATAACTCAATTTCACCATGATCTAGCTTAAATTCTGCAAACCCAACACACAGGCACCTTTCTGGTAGGTCAGAGAAATAGAGAACTATTTATCAAAGTGGTGGGTCAGCTTTACTGCTGAAGTCAGTGAGAGTTACGTCTTGTGTTCAGTCAGTCAAAAAGTTTCCTTAGTCCCTCTGCAATATATCTGTGATTGCAGTTTATGCTATATTTCAATTGCTGGAAGGGAAACTAATTCATTCCCTGTCATGTATCGATGTAGAACAGGAATCCGAATTTCCACTGCCTGCTCCACAGCAGATTGGGGCAGTAAAAAAAAAGCACAGCCAATTTCATTGAAAAGTTGTTTGAGCAATTGGCTATTTAATAACATGGAAAAATAATCCATTGCAGTGGGTATGATTAATAATTATCCTAGAGCTGTTACCAGAGAAACAGACCATTTGAAGACCATCAAGTTTGGGCTGTGTTTTTTCTCCATAGAAGACATTTAGTCCAGTGTGACTCTTCCTCTCGCAATCCCTCACACATTGATATTAGTTTGAAGCATTTTGTGGAATTTATGGACTCTGCTTCATCAGCAAATGTAATTTTTTTTTAATTTTTAAAAACAAAATGCACACACTGGGGTCCCCAAGCCTTGGCTCTTACTAACCTATGCCTAATATTTTCTAGAATTAGTTAAACAGAATGTGCACCTTGTATGCAGTACTGGTCCAACTTGTTAGCCTTACATGGAAGTGAAATCTTGTAAGTTACTTATTTTTTCAGTGCATAAATTGAAAAGAAAGCCAAATCAAGTGAAGGGTGACTACAAGTGGAATGGGAATGCTGCAGAGTGGAGAGAATTGGGCGCGCTGAGAGTTCCGATTCAGAAAATATACTTAAAGGTTGTTTTTTGAGCGCACTATTGCCAGGAATTACCATTTTAGATTTTTTTCTCTCTGGATGCGTCTTGTGACCGTGGAGGTGAGACTAGTTTGAATTAAGTGTGGTTTGAGGTTTTGGAAGGCCATTATTTTGCACTGCACCCAATAAACACTGATTGAGCAGCGCAATACAAGTGGAGGGAATGGGTCTGGAAGAGCTCTGTGATAACAGCCTCAAATTTCCCCTCAGTGAGAGCCCCCATTGTCCATTAAGTGCTTTGAAGTGTTCATCGTCCTATGCAAAAGGCACTGTTTAGTCCATAGTGTTGTTTAAATTGCTGACCAGTATTGAATCAAATTGCAACAGTCGTGTTCCTCTCACTAATTTTATACTACCGCGATATAGTATTACAGCACTGGACACGTTATTAGGGCAGTTACTATGAGATGTCTAAGCTAAAGTACACTGGTCTGTAGCTGTTCTGATAAACATTCCACGTTTGTATGAGATGTTTTGTATTATAAATCTATTGGAATGTATACGAATCTATAGGAATGTACAGGCACAGAAGAGTTTTGCATCCTTTGGGTTGATGCATAAGTTTTTTTTAAAAAAGTAGATTACTTCAGCTCGCTGTAATCTGTTTCTTAGCCAAATAGCTATCAAATTCCTTCCTGAATTAGTTGATACAATTTGCCTTCACTACTTCCCTGGATAGTCCATCTCACGTATTCGTTACTGCTTATGTAAAATAATTGAATCTAAACTTCCATCTTCTAAGATTTAGTCGAAAGATGCAATAAAAAAGCTCACCTTCAAGAATATAGGAGGAAATGTAGCACTGGAGTGAAATAGCAGCAGCTTTGTTAGCTGAAAAGCACAATTCAGTACTAAGCACTGCTTTTA